GTCCACCGAGTGACAGTGTCCAGCAAGTCCGCTGGTGATTCCACTACGCAGTGTAACACCATGTAGCCGGTACTTATGAGCTACTGAATGCTGGAAGGTTTTTTGGGGGAGGCAATTGATGAATTAAACTAGTGCCGTAAACTCAGCGACAGCGGAACATCCAGGCTACGCTACCCTGCTGATAACACACAGAAAGCTCGCTGATATCGTGTTGTACTTCAACACCAGCCTGGCAGAGGGTACTAACGGTAGCATTATTTTTCCAACTTATACGAATCTTCTAATTGGCGGTGTTTAAGTCGCCTGGACACTTTGAGATGAGTTGGCTGCGTCCCAGTGCTGAGCTGTGCTGCATGGCCAACTACTCACTATCCGCCAGCGGGTAACGCTAGTACCAAAACGGAAACCGAGCGAAACGCTCAGTGGTCCGCCAGGACGAAGAGCATCGACGGTGATGATTTAATTATTCTGCTCTTCCATCGTGATTGTTGATCCTCGATAAACCATCTCGGTAGCGCTCACGGTTGCCTGCCGGACCAAGACAATGGCTTTTAGCAGTGCAGTGGTGGTCATGCCGTCGGGAGAGTAGCTGGCTACGCGGTTATCGTTCTAGCTGGCTGGGAGCATCAGCGTGGATTGAATACGCGCATACACCCCACGCATCTATTTGTGGCATGAGCTCAACCTGACATTACGCTCTTGATTCGTAGACCATTTTCTTCCATTGATGGTTGGATGTGTCGGTTCGATCGGAGGATTGTTCATGCTAACGGCACCACCTTCAGGCCTTACTGTACCCGGTAGGGCCCCGTAGACTACCTGGATTGGTCCTGGCATCGTTCCGCCGCTAGAGTGTGCCACGCGCACTGCGAGTCGTGAAGATGGCTTGTGCGAGCCGATGTAGATTGGTACCTATCTAGCCTGGAATGGATGTTGTGATAAAAAATTGAATAAACGGTTCTTATTGGATCCCGTTGTAGCTGCGCATTTGCCTTAAGGGCATTTTAGTTTAGCTAAACTTGTACCGACCATGAACCGCTGAATCTGGCGCTGACAGGGGTTTACGCCACAGCAGGTACACGCGCCAAAGTATCATCCTCTTCTGGCCAGCACCAGGCTACGGCAATTCTGGTGCGAGGACGTTTCTAGCTAAGTGAATTCTTCGATAAACCGTTGCCCCCCCCCAGTTCCCCCAAAAATCTTCGTCCCCAGGAGGTTCTCTTTCCTGCGCCTCCACACAGTGGGGTGGATGTCTAGCAGTGGTTCGGCCCAGAAGCGCCTACAAATGTAGTCCCATGCGCATTTGAGCTGTGCTTGACTAGAATGCTACTAGAACAGCGTCTTCCAGGGCGTCATTGCTGGAGAGACGTTTTGTCTATTCCAGCAATGTCGGCAGAGCCAGAACGTCTATTCTCGGGTGCAAAAATCACTATTACAGAGCGTAGGAACCGCATAGGTATTGAAAGTATTGAAGCAACCGAGTGCCTCAAATCGTGGCTCGGCAAAGGTAGCAGGCTTGCTTTCACCGATGGCGACCTTGACACAAGCGGAGAGATTTCGTAAGCTAGGCTACAAGTATAAAAATTGCAGGTTAGTACGCCGCTATATAATTGACGTGCACAATATGGTCATATATGATGCCATATATTGTCAATACTATATTAGACCTCATATGATACGACGTTGTCCTCGGCCATATCATATATGATATGACCATCAAAAACGTAGCCGTATATTATCATATCACACTATCTTGCACACTGAGTCGGACTATTGAGAGGGGTGAGTGCATGAAGAGTTGGATCAAGAGCGGCATCACGAAAGGGATTCCTGTAGATCTGGGTGAGGATGGCGATAGTGAGGAGGTGGAGGACTCCGAAAGGGACATGAGGGAGACTGAGGATGCTACGCTTGTTAGTCGGTGAGACGCTGTAACCGACTGATCTTAGAAGAGAATGACGTCATTTTTGGTATTCCATACGTATGTAATACTTTCCATACTTTCCATACAAAGTACGCTGCATATTCCATATTCCATACAGCCCTATATGGAGTATGGAGTATGGATAGAAAGCCTGGTGTTGCCGTTATAGCTGACTAGCCAGTACACCGACTTACGACCGCGACACCAGGTCTGTAGATAGACATGCTCGATTAACTTGTCGATGGTTAACAGAGAAGGCCGGCCTTTGACAGCAGCAGCGCAAGTCTCTCCTTTCCAATTGCATTTGGAATAATGCCGCTTTAGTATATCCAAGTTAATATCGCGATCCCCACAGGCGCTGCAGTGGAAGCTATCAAAGACCCGCAAGTGCGGGTGATGCGGCGACCCATCTAGTCGTGGAGGTACTTGCTCGGTGCCAGGGCTGTAGAGCGCTAGCGACCGTAGAAGTTTTGTCAGTCCGCTTCTCTGTTGTAGCGTGAACTGGTGCCTGTCCCGAATATGGGTGGTAGGACGGGAACCTGCCACAGAGATCGCTGTCTGGCATGAATCACGGCAGCATATCAGCACGTTAGCGCTGTAGTCCACAAAGAGACCAAGATCCTTCAGGGTCAGATCTTATTCGCTCATGATGTTGTTAGACAAGGAACACTTTTTGATGGTATTATTATACAAGATGAAAATGCCATTCTAAGATCAGAGATCCGTACATTATATGTGAAAAAGATTCAAAGATGATATCTCTCCCAGCGTATCGAGGCGCCCCTATTTACTTGCGCACGGATAAAAAGTGCGTAATTTCATGAAATTACATCTCGGATCGGGACGTGTGGGGCGGACGGCGGACGCGCTGTGGTTGCGCACGGACAAAAATGTTGTTTTTTAGCATTTGTCAAGGTGCCTTTGTGCAGTATGCATTGTGCTTGTTTCGTCCTTCTCGTTATCAAGGATAGTCTGTAAATCCGGCCGACGGCCCATCACGACTTATCATGTAGCCAAACCGGTCCGGGTGTTGCTTCACCAGCGGCGGCATGTCCTTGTTCCCATTAATCCTCGTAAACGTGTCGTGCTCTCTTTCCCACACATCCTTGCCCTCACGCACGGCGTCCGCAATCCTGTTCCTATCGCGGTATTCCTTGTCGTTCATCCACACATGGGAGAAGCTGGCGACCTTGTTGAGGAACTGGGCAATCGTGGGGAAGCAGCTGCTGCAGTGCCACGCCGCGTTGGCCAGCGTGCCTTTCTCCCTGCCGCGGGTCGGGCGAAAGCCGCCGTCACCGTTGCGCAGGTTGGTCGGTTTCAAGGTGCGCCAGCCCTGGTAGTAGGTGGCCTGCGGGTGCGGCCACTCGGGTCCGTCGTGTAGAAACTGGAAGGAATAGTAGTAGAACTTAGACCCGAGCGTTAGGCGGCGCGGGTAGTTGCAGGACCGCAGGACGAGCAGCGACTCTGGTCGCGGGATCTCGTCGACGTCGGCGACGACCATGACGTCACCGTTGACGGGCGCCTTGTGGCCCGTCAGGCCCGGCATGACTTGCGTATACATGGCGTCTCGCTGCAAGTCTTCGTAGTCCCAGGCGCGGTGTGGGTTAAAAGATGGGGGAAATGTCAATTCGTGGTAGATCATCTTGTCATGGAAGCGTCGAAACCTGGCCCAGTTGTTCTTGATGATAAGCGACTTCTTGTCGCCTTGGAATGTCTTTGGTGACTCGACGATGATGAAGTAGTCAACGTAATTGTAGAGCGTGTCGAGGCGTATCTCGAGAAAGTCGAGCTCCGAATTGACCATGACGAGATCATAGACCTTGCGCTCGTTTGTGGAGCTGAGCGGCTTAAACGCGGAGTAGCCATGCGCGGCACAGAACTCGTGCGCTTCCCGCGACGCGTAGTATTTGGCATGCAGTTCGCTGCGTGCCGGAAACGAGGCCTGGAGGAAGTCGAGCGGCGGCAGCGACACGGTGTTGCGAATCTCGTGCAGGCCGCCGCTGGAGGGATCGGTACGGCGTACCGACAGCCAGATGAAGCCCAACAAGATGAGACCGAGGATTAGCCTACCCCGTGATCTCGTCGATCTGGTCGCCATCCTGGCTGCTGTGAGGGAATAGGGACCAGCGGAATGAGGCGAGTCGACAATTTAATGTCCAAGAAGAAAAAACCGGCAGTTTCAGGCTGCGGCTGGTCAGCTCAGACGGCGGTCCTGATCAGGTCCTCCCTGCAGCGTCACGTGGCAGGCGGCGATTCGGCGCGATGTTTGCACAAAAGATTAGTCACTGCCTTGCTTTACCAGGCTTTCTCTTTTCTTTTTTGTTCTTCTTTTTCTCCCTCTTTTTTCTTGCAAATACGAATGCCGGCCGTGCGTGTCTCATAGTTATTTTACCACGACACATTAGCTCTTGTACCGGCACAGGGTTGCCAGAATCGCCTGGGCGGGTGGGCGGTCACTACAGCACTTGGCGTCAGCCATGTCGCCTTACTGGGCCTTGCCGCATCGCATCCACCTGGCGCCCTATCGTTGGCGAGGTGGCAAGTCTGTCCGCCAGGGGTAGATCCCGGGAATAAGCTGGTTAGCGTCGGAGATGAGAAGATGGTAAAAATACAACCTTAAAAAAAGATTTCTCAGCAGAAACCTCTCCACGCACTAATGTATCCCCCGCAATCCCTTTTTTTTTTTTTTTTGCTTACTTTGTCCTTTCCTTTGGGTACGGAGAGAGTGATTCCTTACGCGACGCCGAAACTGGTCATACACGGTGTCTTATCCTACAGCCTGATACCAAGCAGGTCGGGGCGGGGCCGCGGAAAAGAATATGCAAAGTAATTACTCAGCGAATGTCTCTCAAAGAGGAGGAAAAAGTGGGTGACTAACCTGGCTCCGGAAAAGAAGCGACAAAGACCACAGCAAAGGGCCATTGCGGGACCGCAGCCAGCCACTCTGTTACGCTGACAGCAAGTTCCTAACAACCTTCGCTAAGCCTCATGCCACTTCCCCGCATCGGCGCGCCATTTTTCCTTTCTTAGATATCGTTGTGGGGGAATCGGCTGGACGAGCAACGCCGCGCCAGCCTGACTGCTCATAATTCACCTCACTGACCAATGGTGGGAGACGTTCACAAACGCGGAGAAAGACCGTGGGCGACTTACTGGTCAATACTTCATTTCCCGGCATGTCGGCAGATCTGCACCACCGGCCTGTGGCGGTTGTGCCGGGCGCTCGGCTCGGAGTGTCGGTCTGCGCTCGCCCGCGGTGTATCTCGCCTGTAGCTGCTTGCCTCGGCAACATCTTGCTTGTAGATGATGCTGTGTGACGTGATGCGGCAACGTTCGCCGTGGCTCGCCTAGGAACGAGACAACAATGGCATTGAACGAGTAGGGAGGGTCGATGTCCCGGCAAGCACCTCTGCTCAGGACAGCGGGTTCAGATGTACCTCTAAGGAGATTCAATATGTAAAAAAGGTCAAACTCGTTACTATTTCTTGCCACTGGCCAGATACCAGATCCAGTTGACGTCTCACAATAACATGACAGACTCTGCCGCGGCATCTCAAGCCTGGCACAAAAGTTTCCGGCCACGCATATTTCGGCATTTACGCCCTATTCCATTAAGGTATTCCATCTACGGGAAGACGCTGAGAGATGCTGCAAGCCACACCGAAATGAAAAAGCTCCCAGTTAGTACAGGCGATGCCTGGCCAGC